TACAGTTAGAATCGCTGAAAAATTAGTTACTCGCGTAAATGCAAGTGGAAACGAGACGCCACGGGAGTGGGGGTTATAACACTAACCAAAAATTATATTAAAGTTTTAAGTCGAAATGAGCAGAAAACGCTTAAGAGCAAGTTTTGTTTATTTTTGTTTTTGGGCAAGGCAACTTGTAATGCAACACACACACGAAAAAAAGAGGTTGTTAGAGCGAGAGAGCGGAAGATGGAGAAAGGGATAGGAAGGCGGGGTGGTGCCTGCATCTTTCGGCTGATGGCCAAAATGGAGTGGAGAGAAAGAAAGAGAACAGACATGGCTAATATCAATTATAAGACGCAATTAGGGAAAACATTTTGTGGAGCACAGCAAGTAAACAAAAACAAGGCGACAGGAAAAGTTTGGGAAACAACTTCAAAAGAATATTTTGGGGATTATTTTTGTTTTCCCAATAAAGCGAAACAAGAAAGTTTGTGATGGAATAGAAATAGGAAATTACTTGATTTCTTATCTAAGGAAAGAAAAAAAAAAACTATTCAATGATTTAGCACAAAAATAAAAGACTGATGGGTTTTTTTTGTAAGTCTTAAGAATTCGCTTGCAGTTGACAACTTTCTTTAGCTTGTATTTCTGAAATGTATAAAAATTCCGCTTTTACATTAACATAAGTATAAAGAGATCATTATCATACCATCCATCAAATGAATTCGACCTAAACCTCGCAATATCACATGATTAAATGCTTCTGATTAACTGCCAAACCTGCTTGGAGAATGTTGGAAATTCTTTCCTAATTTCCTTGGCTTTTTGCAGACATGAGGTAATTACCGGCTTAGCATAACAAATCCTGTCCCAAGACCAGACTTAAGCGTTTATATAATACAAACCATATTGACGATTATGGGAAATCAAACACTTGTCACACGCCAGTTCTTCGTGAAAAGAAATTAATTGGTTGATAAATTTGCCAAGATGTTATGTATGGCCAAAAATAATTATTGCGTGGTCTTTTTCGAGATGGAAAGGTTAAGAGATTTGAGTGAGTTAACAAAGGAGAACGGGCCAAAACGAAATAAATAAAAATGAAGGGTTCAAACCATTCGAAAGCTCGGCTTCTGGTGCCGATTTCCCACGTTTAGAACGAATCACAACAGAACGCATCATTAATCATGGCAGGATGACCAGGGGATGCGGTGGGGATACGGTGGGGATGGTGGGGATGCCGCACTCCGACCGCGAGGCGGCCTAAAACTTTTTGAAAGACCCGACCAGAACCAAGCAGAGCAGAATCCACAGAATGGAGCCAAATGCGAGGCACATTGGGCAGGTCGAAGGCATCCCAGCCACCAGCCACTGAAGATGCATGAACAAAAAGCAGCAGCAACAACTAACACAAGGCGCAAAGGCGCGTTTCTCGTCTGGCAGATTGGTTTTCAAGAACGGGAACAGCAACGCGCTTCAGACTGCATGCACTTAGAAAAACCGTAGCAAACTTCACAATCAACATAGAGAAAGCCATGAAATCAAGGATACACGTTCCTATATAAGCAATAAACTCACATATGAATAAAGCAGGAAATATTCAGTATTAAATGTTTGAAAGTAATTCGTTATGCAACTTGTTTAATAGAATTATAAGTTTGTTCCCAGTGTACTGTGACTTTTATCGGACTCGGAGTTTAGGTTCGTTTTCATGGTCACTCACCCGACGCATTTTGGTGTTCTTTTCCGAGCTGCAGGAGACAACAAGGGGCACCTAATTACAATCAAATGGAAGGAGGCGGACGTCTGGCCAAGATCGGTTAATAGCAAAATTAATCAAATCATCAGGGGGACAGGCGCACCGACATACTGACAGATAGACAAGCCAGTTCCTCCCTATCCACAGAATTCAGAGCCTGCGGCGGCCAAAGAAAGGAAGCAGCATCGGCTCTATGAGTCTATTGGGTTCCATCCTAGTTCTTAAGCCAAGTTCAATGCACGTGCCTGGGCACACTCACACAATCGCAACAATGGTGATACCAAGATACTAGCCAGCAGTTGTTGTTGTTTACTTTTTCCATTCGCGGCTTAAACAATTGGCCCAGGCCAGAGCCAAAATAAAAACCAGTTTGTGTTCGGGTTTCAGCTTTTTTCGTCGGTTTGCGTTTCTTTGGCTGCTGCTGTTCTCTTGGGCACTGCTCTTAAATATCGAACTGGCTGCCTTTTTGGATACATCCGTGGTGGCTAAAAACCGAAACCAGTTTGGAGAACTGGCCACTGGCCAAAAGGAAACCACCCTGCTTTTGGTGGGGGTGTTCTTAGGTTCGGTTTGTCAAAATAATAAAATAAAATAAAAGGAGATACGAAAAAAAGTGCAACCCAAAAACCCAGGTTAAATCTTAATAGAAAGCTCGCTTCTTTGTTTACGAGTTCACTTTTTTATGGGCTAGATATACCCCCTTCCTTTTCACTCTTTATTTTCTTAACCCTGCAGAGCCCAGATAATAATCACAACATGAAACTATTTTTGAAGCACTTAAAACGAGACCCATAAATCTTGGTTTTCGGGAATAGTGGAATAGAACCGAAAATCCGAGCCACAAAAAATCTGGAGAAAGAGCAACGACATCGTTAAATTGCAGCTAGCGGACCCTTCTTTCTGCGTATCGCCTGATATTTCAGCTTAGGTTTATTACTTCATTTATTTTCATCTTTAACATGAATCGGGGAAGATTCCAACATTCTTTCTTTGTCGCCTTCAGAGTGTTATAAATTGAACAATATATTTTATTCTTTTGTATGTTCTTGTATTACCATAATGGTAACGATGATTACGATATATGTACAAACTCGTAGCTAGTTGTTATTCGTAAAGGGTTTTTAACTTGCAACTCATTCCGAGTCAATATTTTATTGCAATATACTCGTATCTTTATGGTTGTCAAAAGCTCAACACTTTTCCTCTTAATCATCTCACCCTCGATTTTTCTGGCCATTTCAAGAGTCATGAAGTGGTTTTAAAATGCAATCATACCAACACATCGCAGGCGATGGCACGCGGCGAAAGTCAAAATGTGGAGGGAAAAGGATTTCGGGTAGCGTAATTAATTTCTGAAGACCTCGGGATCGCGGGGGCGTAGGGCCGTGAGGTGTAGTGAAAGATAACCGAAGGAGAAAATTGACAGGCTAATTTATTGTAACGGCAACTGACAAGCCGCCGCAATCGCTGGCCCAGTCATTCCACTTTCATTGTCTTCGGCTGATAAATGAAGATGAAGGCGACCTGATTTTTATTGTTATTTCCGCTTGGCTCCTTGCAGATCCCTTCGAGATTCTTATTCCACCCAAATGACTGGCCGAAATTGGCAGACTTAACGGCAATTTAAAGTGACGCCACTAATTGATGTCCCCACAGTACGGAAAATAAGAAATGAAAATGGGGAGAATCCTCGTGAAGATATCGCCACCAGGGGCAACTGAAGTTGGTTGGGCTCTGAATCCGGTGAAACTGTCAAACAGTGAGACACAGTGTGGCTGGCCACACATGGCATTTAGGGGTCTGTCTTCTGGTTCCCAGTCTCGTTCCCATTTCCAAATCTAATCTGATGACACAAATGAGCAATCAGAACATCAGCCTCACATCTGCGGGCTGGCGGCGAATGGGAAAAGTTCTCGACCATAATTTCAGCTGCCTCGGGCGGTCAGGGGTTAAGGTTGGAGAAGGTTCCCGGACAATTGGTAATCTACATCAAAATATTTATGACAGCCGATAATGAGAGCAAAGGATTTGGGATATAGTGTCAAGCAAAATGGTGTTTACATTGCTATCTCACACATTAGACCGAAACTATTGTGCTGCATTTCTTTTGGAAATTTGTTTTGGGTTTATTAAAGATAACGAAGAAAGGTGCCTTTCTTAACCATCTTGTTATTTGTTAATTTCCTGGAGAGTCTTTTATCTATTGCTAACCAAAGATTTGTTTTGATGACTCAAAGACTGTGACACAATCTTATGAGATCAATGGTAGGTCTTGTGTGCTTGATAAAACGGGTAAGATATCTTCTCGAGAGTTTAGTGACGAAAGCAGTAGGAGCAATATAATATTCATTTTATTTTAGCTATTATTTTCAAATTCGTTTCTTTTGTGCAGCAAATGTAAGGGTTTCCTGCAATCCACAGGCAAATATGGAAGACAAACTTTTTAGAAACTATTTGCCTGTGGTACGTTATAAGGAATTAGCACCCAGTCAATAAAAAAAAACTTACCGACAGGTGCCAAGTTGCATTAGAGTTGTATACCCAGCAATATGCCCATTTTAGTGAGGTATTTGTTCCGGCCACACAGAAGTATCTGCAAGTGCCTGCCAGTATCTGCGTAACTCAGATACTCAGATACTTCTCTCCAAACTCAGACTCCTTTCGAGCCTGCTCATTAACGGCTTAGAAAAGTAGAAGAGCTGCACTTGAGACACGCACACACAATATAGAATGAAAAAAATCCAAATGGGGAGCCAGTTGGCACCGCAGACAATGTGTCAAATAAGGCCTGACGACAGGAAAAAGGAAAAGCGTTGCAAATGCAGAACATGTGTGTGAAAAACAAGGGGCGATAAGTGAGAAAAAATGTGCAGATACAAAGGAGCATTTTCGAATGGAGCGGGACAGTTCCCCCGAGGCATATCTAGGGGTTTTTGGGGGCAGTGGGGGAGCTCCCACAGTTGACAATGACATTTGCCTGACACGGCAAGGAAGTCGCCAGTCAAGGCTAGCTTCAAGAGGTTCTTCAACTGCGCCAGGGAGTCGGGGCTCGTAGCGCATTAAAGATATAATTCTAGTCTAGAAATCACAACTCGTTTCGTAAAACTTTGTGTATTGAATGTATTGCTGCACTTGCTACACACTTTAATTGACTTAACTAAGATGAAACCCCCTTATTTGATCTTTAACTATATTAATCTTCCCTCTTTATATGCTTTGAAAACATATTGACCATTATACATAAGTTTACATTACTTACTTGGATTATTGTTCGCCTCACGCCAATGGGCGGCTGCTCTGCAACCAAAGGTGGTTCGAGATAATCCCTTGCAGCAGCTCCACTTCTTTCCAGACCACAATCCCGGATGATAGCGATACGATTTTGGAGTATTACTATCCTCACAAACTAAAAAAGAAATAAATATAAATAACAAAGTTTACAGAATTGACAGTATTAAATAATGCCAATTTTTAAGAACTTATTAGAAGCGTCCATGCTATACTATGCACTATAATTTTCCATGATTTTATTGCCATGTCTCCAAAACTGCTAAAGCCATCTGCTTTTAACCACTTAAGCTAACCTGATTATTTTAGGCCACTTTTCCCTAATTTACAGGCGCTCCTTGAACTGAACACGACTACTTCTTATCGATTTCGATGCATCTAACCAAAAACAGATGCAGTTTGGCTCCCTCGCCTTTGTTTATTGGGTCATCATCGACCGAGTCAATGGGGGCTCACCTTGGCGGATGGCGCGGATCCACTCGCTGCGCTCCTTTTCGCTGTTGGCGATCACGTAGAGTGTGTACTGTGGCACCGCTCGCCCACTCTGCTGACCCTCGATTCCGCCCCCGCCGCCGTTCTCCAGCTGATGCGAATTGGCCGACGAAGAGATCTCACAGTAGCCCACTTGGAACGGATAACCCTGGATGGATGAATGGGGATTTGAACGTGCGTTAATGAAATATATTTTCCCAACATTTCTGGCTACTCACATCCGGTGCAAAGGGATCGCCGCCCTCGCCACTGACCGTCGCCTCCTCCACCAGGCGAACGCCCTTCAAATGAATGCGACCACGTTCGCGTCTCCGCTGAAAGTGAATCAGATGAATGGGATAGTTTTAGTTATACGGATAAACTAATTTTGCACTTGGTTCGAATGGAAACGTTGATTTTTATTTTGGAGAAAGGAAATATAAATTTATAATATAAATATCGACGTCAACCTATTTAGGAACTGTAAAAGAAACCGACTCCTCTAAGAATATACCCTAAATTACACTTTCTTCCAATTAAAAGTAAATTAACTTAAATTACTTCCAAGCGTATCCAATTCCCTAATAAATTGTTGCTTGTGGACTATACGAATCGATTAAAAATATAGTTCTGCTCCAATTCATTCTAATTAAATTCCACCACGAACACGGAAGTTCGTTTTCGTTTTCAACACATAAGAAACACTCCGAGCAAACAGACTTTCCATTACAGCATACCCTCGATAAATTGGCTTCTTCAATCATCATCATCGGACCCATTAGCAGCCCCATGTTCATCGGCATTATCATCTTTACCACTCATCGCACTAACTCACACATTAGCAGCGCCAATTTAACGGATCGCCTTGTGGATTTTCCTGCTCATTTTCGAGTGGAGTGCGAGTTTCAATTTCAATTCTCAATTGGCCGCCAAGTTGGCTTTTCCTGCCCCACACACACACACACACATGCATATACGCATTTTCAATTTCATTACGAATTTGAAGTTAAAGTTGAATTTGAATTTCTGCTGGCTCATGGTTCCGTCTTCCCCACTCGCTCCTCTTTTTTCATCCAACCTTTTAGCTTTTGGCTTAACCCAAATAGGTTTTGACTTTTTATGCACAAGTTTTATGTACACAAAGAAAAATTGATCAAAAAATTTTCCGAAAGCAGTGCTAATAAACCTTGAGATGATGTCTATTATCTCTATTTTGTTGTGATGTACTAAATGATTGTACTTCTATAAAGTATGTTTCAATATCTCGACATTATTTTCATTTAAAAATGCACAGATGCACAATTTTGTATCTTAAAAAGGTAAAGCTAGTATTCAGTAACAAAAAAACATTTTGAGCTTCCCTTTTTTCACTGTACTTCTTAAACAACTTGAAGTTTCGAAAGCCCAAGAAGGAAGTTCAATTTCTTTTCTTGAATTTCAGTCTTTGGTTTTTTTACTACACTCCCCCTCTTGCTTGTGTGTTTTGTACAGCTTTTGTTTTTATTTTTTCTTATTTTGAAATTGCTGCTTGTTTATTTGAGGTCTTTGTGTCAACGCTGTTGTTGATGAGGTTTTTATGTTGCGTCTGCCGTTGGTTGCCTCACTTTGTGTTTGGATAGATTTTTTTCTGGGTTGCTGCGATAAGTAGGGGCCAAAAGCTAACCCGACAGCCAACAACGTGCTTATCGGCTGGTCCTCAAAATTTTCACTCTCCAACTGCCTGTGTGTTCCAGCGGATTCCCCACTCCACGCCCTGAAAGTTATACGTCTTAGAAGGCAGCCTTTGTTGGCCGTCGGAGTCAATTAGGCCAATTACGTTGACTTAATTGAGCTGGCAGCGCTTTAAGGTCTTCCCCAATTGTTGCACCGTCTTGGCCGGGACTCTTCCCCTCTCCTCAGCCCCCCAAGCTGCCGTCAAGTGGCGGCACACGTGCAAAAATTACCCTGCGCGCAAAAAAAAAAGGACGTTGACGACGTTGCTCAAGTGCCGTCAAGTGGAATGCCAGGACGATGCCGAAAAAAGGAGCGAGACGAGTTTAAATGGCTGACATTGTTCGGCATTCAGTTAACTTAGTTTATTGAGCCTGTCAGCGTGCGGGAATGATATGCATAGCAGGGAATATCTGAAAAAATTGGATATATGGTAGTTAAGGGACGTACAAAGTAGTTTTTCAATGAAAAGGAGGTACATACATTGATAAAAAGTCTCTACATATGTTTTGCAAAGCTTCCTCTAAACTGTAAAACGAAAAAAAAACTATATATCTTAATTAGTGGAGCGCAGAAAATACCCCATCCTTACTTTAATCTGTAATTGTTTTAATATCGCAATCTGCAACAAAGAATGCCTTATAAGCCAACGCAGCTCATGCCCCTCTCCCTAGAAACCAAAACGAACTTTCAGTGAATTGAAAAATCCAACGTAAATGGAGTGGGCGAGGTATAGTACCATCAATAGGAGCAAGAGGCAGAGATGATGAGGAGGGGCTAGGAAAATAGTCCGACAGCTAGATGACATCCGGCGTCTGTCAGCCCAATTCAACCCAGTTTCAGTATAGTTGGCCAGACGATGCTTCCTGAACACGCCAAGTTAGCTTGGAGGAAAAGAAGGAGCAGGAGGAGCATGTCGTGCCACTTTCTCGTGAATAGCCAACTAACTGAACATAGTTGCGCTGAACGAACTGAACTGAACTGAACCGAAATGGATGTAGAAATGAAAAGTAGAACTACATACATAACTGCAAAAAGAGTATGACTGCTAGTTATGGTTTCTGCTTTGATATCTGCGAACAAAGTTCTGACTTGGAGATATTTTCCATTGGAGAAAAGGTCAATGCACTGGCACATACAAATGTATCTGTATCTGTATCTGTTGCCAAAGGTTGCGCAAATGTTGAGCATGTGTTCCGACATGTGGCATCAATAAGCGAAATGGAGATGCAGCTGCTACTGATTCCAGGCGAAAACGAGCTAAAAATTGCCGGCAATTAAATTGAGATCTTTCAAACCCGTATGGAAATTTCCTATAGTTAAAAACTACAAATTAAAGTGGAATACCCTGTAAAGCAGATTGGCCAAAATTCTGGTAAAAAAATAATAATATACCCTCGCTTAATGAAATGGAAAGGTCCGGACAAAATGAAACTCCTCAAAGTGAAAGTCAATTAGGGCAACATTAATCAAATTGATTAACAAAATGCAGTTTGGCTCTCGAACATTTCAAAAATTGCCTCAAGCCAAAAAATAATGCCATAAAAACAGAATGAATATGGAAATGGAATGGTTTATATCTGAAGCTGGTTTTGGTGTTGAAAGTTGGTTAAGCAAACAGGAAAAGAAAGAAACCAACTTCCTTCGGGCTCATTCTTTAAGTCATGGAAATATTTTACTTCATTATTATGTGCTTGTTAAAAACGCGCTTTTCTTACATAATTTGACAGAAGAAGAACATACTTTTTTCTTTTCTGCTGCACTCTCTAAATGGCAAAGTAATTTCCGGATGCAAGTGAATAAAAAGCCGTCGAGGGACCAACGGTAACACAATATGCCAAAAAGGACAACAGGTTGAAACACGAAACGCACCTGTAAAGGTACCAACGTGTATCCTTATTTAATTCTATTGTTAAAGGGAAAACATGGAGGGTTGGCAACAGAGCATCCTAATGGCACGGCAATCACCTGTGCATAATTGAGAGAGCTGTCAAAGCAAAATGCACCTCAGGTAGGCAAAAACCGAGGAGAAAATACAAAATATAATGAAAAATAGGGGAGCCGGCGCAGGAAAACGCAACAAAGTCCCGGAAAATTGAGTACCAGCAGCATAAAGAAAAACGATTAAGTGAAAATTGCCATTGCCGAGGGTCAAAGTGGAGTGGGTTAGCAGAAAGAGAGAGCGTGGAAACTGAAACGATAATTGAAGAATAGGTGAAGAGAGTATAAGGGGAAAATGTAATTAAAATTATAAGCTACTATGCATTTTCTAGAATTTTTACTGCAGTCTTTAAGAAACTCGCAATGGTGTTCAAGCTCAGTTTATAAATAAAACCCGTTGCAATAAAATAAAGTTACTTAATACTAGCAACAAAAGAACTACACTTAATTAACATACATTAAAGCGCATTCGCACTGTGGAAAGAACACTCCCTAAAACTGATATTCCCACGGTACCGTCCAAAAGTGCTCTTAAAAATAGAATGATAGAAACCCGATTATATTGCTAGATGCACTCCACTGGACAGTTCAGTGAATGCCCTCCCACTCTGCGTCCAAATCGCCCACTCAAGTGCATCCTCGAGGTTCAAGAGTGGAACCTTTACAATGTTGATTAATGAAAACCAAACTGCCCCATGTGGCATGTTAAAATGCCATTTCGGCTCGACTTTGAGCTGCGTAACGAATCGGGCAAGATATGTACTGTGTACACATGTTCACTTCGATTGATCGTGGGGAAACTACATGTATATAGAGTGGGGGGAACCTCCTGACAATTCCCATGATTGATTGCAACTGGGAGGGAGCGCTTCTTAAACTGACCGCATGTGGAGTGCGATTGAAAAATCGCCTCAAATAAATTATAACTGTAATAAAGATAAAAATCAAGTATACAAAATGCCTAGGCGTAATGGTTTTTCAATTTCCCCAACCTCCACGGGTTTTTTTCTAATTATTACAATTTCACGCGTAGGAGCGGCGACGGGCGATAAATTTCAGTTAAAAGAAGTATGTAAACAAAGACTGCCAAGTTGTTTCCATGCCTTGCATCTCATTCCCCAGTTTGGTGGAAAATTTATGCATTCTTCCAATGAAAACGAAAATTTTCCTTCGCATAGTTTTTAGTTGCTTTCGGTGTTCGTTCCCAGCCATCAAAAGGACATGGTTGGTTGACTCGGATGTTCTGTTCTGGTCAAGACGAAGTAATTAATTTTAGTGTGGGTAATTTGTGCTAAATCATTCCATGTTCATCTATGTCGGCTGTCTTCGCCTCTTCCTGTCAACAGAAAAACTTCACTTCCTCTTCGTGGTTTTATCGCTAAATTTGCATTAAATTCAAACCGTGCACCACATAAAAAATTATATTTGTGCAGATTACGTATTGTGAAAAATATTGTTTGGTTATTATAATAGTTAGAATAATTAAAATGCCTGCAAATATATTTTGTTTAGTTTAATATGCACGTATACATATCATAAATATTTTGGATTAATATATAATGATATACGTACACGTATGTATATGGATTAATGTACTAACTTTGAAGAATTTTACTTTTAAAATATTATCTTGAGATATTTATGTATGTAAATTTCTTTATTTTTTGAGATATTTTGTATACCT